GCAAATTTGATGCATAATTTTAATTGCATATAACTTGTAAAGGAATTTTTTATGAAAAAAATTGCCAATACCTTTTTTGTATAGCAAACAATTTTGAATTTAAATATCGCTCCCTTAAAGATCTAGGTTTATTTGCTTTGGAGATAATAAATTGATTGCAAATGATCAACAAATTCCATTAATATAACAAAGAAATATACTTTAGGTACGGTGTGAATTTAAAATGTAGAGATTGTTTACATGGTAAAGCTTTAAAGATATAGTAAAGTTATAAGCTGTTCACTAATTGGTGATCTTCCGATTATGACGAAATTGTCTGCTCTTTTGCTTATTTTGTTTTAGTTAAGTTTGTATATTTCAAAGTAAACAAGTGTTAAACTTAAGAAAATATAAAGAAGCAATATAAATATAAAGTAATGTAATATTGTCGGGGATATTGTAATATATGATACTTAATTAACTTCGTTTTCAATTTATCTTCCAAATTTGGTATTAAAGAAGAGAATAGATTCCCTAAACTTTACCACGAATCGATTATAAAGCTTTGTAGCATGTCATACTCAGGTTACGCTCATGTCCTGCGCAAAATTTTGTTTTCCATTATGCTAATCCTTTACACTTACTGGAAACAATTATACCCTAATCACGAAGCAAATCTCAATAATTAATGTTTTAGTGTTGCATCAGAACATCAAAGAGTTAACAAGCTCAAATGAATAAGAACAGATAGAGATGTTTTGCAATAGAATTTAGCGCCAAATCCAAGTGTTTTAACCAATATATCCCTTCTCGAAAAATCACAATATGCTCACCAAATTAATTTCGTTCATTTTAATAATTTTGCAACCAAACGTACCACCCGTTACACAACACATATGTATTTTATTTTAGACCTTACCCAGATTTTGCTAAAACCAAAGTTTATACGTGGCATGTGGCAAACGGCAGCGACAAAGGTAAATATGCACTTGTTTACCTGAATTGCAGCATGTTTTCATAGATATAACGGTGACAAAAAAATGTTGCGCTTACATTAAATTGCATGTGTGAATTTGTCATATCCGTATACCTCGCATGCACATAATGTATGCATGCCCCTATGTACCTATGTGGAAATTTACATGTGTATGTAGCTTTGATGCTTGCCACGGATTAAGCTTGTGGAATCCGCAACGTTCAGCACAAACTGCAACACGTTCCACTTATATAGACGCGGAGATATGCATGTGTGTGTGTGTGTGTGTACGGAGTTTAGGCTATAGTGCATTTGAACAGACCAAAGCGAGATAAACATGAGTGAACGCATCCGCACAGAGTCAGCGCAATGTTGACCTAAATGTAAACACTTACACATTAATACATACACATGTACATGTTGATATGTAGGCGTCGAATGCGCCAAGTGACTAGTCAAACTCGTTGGCAGACAGCGCAAGTCATGCACAAATAGTTTGCTTAAAACGTTGCTGCGATTGAAAAATCCGAACTTAATGGAATTTCGTCAGCAGCTGGCGTAGATAAGCTAAACGCGAAAGAGTGTGAGATACTCTAATTTAGGTATCCTTACGAGTGGTGTCGGACAAAGATTGAGTTTGCCTTCCTGCAATTAATCGTAAAACAGCTTGGTTGAGTATTTCACCTCGTGTATTGCACGCATCTGTTTTTTATCCATCAAAAGGAGGGAAACACAAATTTTGAATAATTTTTAGATGCTGGAATCTTTTCTATTTTCGATTGGTATAGCTTCGGTGCAGGCTATTTTTTTTGTTTTTATTTTATTTTATCTTTCAATTTAAGTGTTAATTTTTATGTATGCCTCTCGTCTTTCTCTTTTATCATCAGATCAAGAATATTATCTAATCGGAGTTAGAAACCCTTTTTGAGTTAAGGGATCTCACATTAAAGCTGTATAACATTGAAATTTTTGACCTGAAAACGTTGGCAGTGTTTGCCATCAGCGCACAACCACAAGAGCTTTATTGAACCTTTATACCTTTATACATTAATAATGTACACGGAATATACTATTGTAGAATGGAATGAAATGCAGGAGCTAATTGAAACTTTTTGTCAAATATATTGTATATTTATGCAAAATAATATTTTATAATAAAATATAATTCTTCATTTCCATTTCAGGTTTCTTAAACGCCAATACAGATCGCTACTCAAAACTGCCAGCCAACTATGGCCTAATGGACATCATTGCCGCATTACACTGGCTTAAAGAGAATATCGCGGCATTTGGTGGCGACTCGCAGAGTATTACGTTGTCGGGTCACGGCACTGGAGCAGCGTGTGTGCATTTTCTCATCTCCTCACTAGCGGTGCCGGAAGGTATAGACAAGTTGATTAGCAACTAATTATATATATTTAAAAAAAAATGTCAATATATCACTAGGTCTACTATTCAACCGCGCCATACTCATGTCCGGCTCAGGTTTGGCGCCTTGGTCGCTAGTGAGCAACCCTGCCAAATATGCGGCTATTGTTGCGCATCATGTCAATTGTGCACCTGATCTGTCACATGCACATCTCATGAAGTGTCTGCGCGACAAGACACTGGACCAGCTGCTGAGCGTACCCATACATCAGCCCGAATTTGGTTTCGCACTTGGTCCAAGTATTGATGGTGTGGTCATCGATGGTGGTGATTATGTACCACCAGCACCCGGTTCGGCTGCAGCACAAGCTCAAGCCTCAACTGCTGCCGGTGGTGGCCTCGGTGGTGGTGCCGGCATTGCGGCAGCGGGTGGTTGGGGTACGCCGGGACAATTGGAGAATATTGGTAATTATTGTAGGCTTTAAGTGCAAAAAACAAAATTTTCATGCAAAAATAATATGCAAAAGTGCTTGTATATTGATATGATGAAAATATAAATAATTGATTTCATTTGCATGCTCATTTTCAATTTGCAACATACACTTATTTAACGCACTATTTGCTGTACTTCCGTTGCGAACATATCGTTTTCTCTTCTTCACGGTATCGTTCAATGAAACACGCGCTGTATTTCAACGGGATTACAACACATTATCGACTTGGCTTCATCCACTATCTCCGATTGCTGTGGCTGCTTAACGCACGAATGCGCTTTTAATATCATCTTAAACTTCAATGGCGGCGGCTTTAATTTACCCGCACTTGTAATTAATTCAGTATTAATGAGGAAAACAGCCATTAACAAGTTGTCAAGGTATGTAAAACCTATAACCTGTGAAGGATTTATTTTTACACAGTTTTAATGCAAGAGTGAGTGATTTTAATTTCGGCGAAGTGTTCGTTGCAAGATTGAAATCTGTGAATGATTGTTATTACATTTTTACTATTTACACTTATCATTGCTCAATTGTTCACAGCGTCTCTGCAAGGATTAATTATACAAGTATTATTATTTAATGAAATGAAAATACGGATGGTAATTAAGTCGCTCTTGAAGCAAGCCACTGTAGTAAGCAGCTTGGTAAAGTCTCTCCGACTGCCTACTTGTGAAAAGAGGAACGTGAAATCAGTTTTACAACTACGATGCAAATATATTGGAAAAATCCTCAGAGCTAGTTGTTAATTCAAAAACAATCTTTTTTCCAGACTTTTAATGAACCCAAGCCAATTTATAGATAGATAAAAGTTAAGATTCATCCTGAGAAATTTTTCGCCATGACATACTTCTCTATAACAATACAAGTCTTAACGCCAAACCCATCCATACCTAATATAAGCAAGTTAATATGAAATAACTTTCTGTACAAAAAAAAGAAAAATCTTTTCTTTCGGTTATTCGTTGATCCGCCATGACTAAGCCCAATTTGATAAGCCTGATGCTTTTTGGACCAGTTCGATTTTATTCAGGAAAACGTATGTACTTATTAACTGGTATTTTCTCAAACTTTGAACTTTCCACAGGCTTTACACAATATATTATATGTTACAATATACGCCCAGCTGCGCACGGATGCAACTGACTATGTATGTATTTGTGAGAATGTATGCAAGCAATGAGTAATTTACATAAATTTGCGCTATACACTAAGGTGGGTAATACATCGATATTAGTAAATGATTAGCGGAAATCTTGCATTAATTAGTGTTAGTAGTTCAGAAGTGATGACATAAGTTTCAAGAAAACATGAAACAGCGCTAATGGTATACATGCGTATACGCAGCTAATTGGCGTTGACAGCTTTGTATAATATTTGGCCGATTTCGAATACTATTACGACGTCATTTGGCATTCGGCAAACATAAGCAGACATATTAAGTACTTAAGGGCTTTATAAGAAGACTCTTTTAGAAAGAAAGGCATACCGCTATCATCTTTTGATGCATGTAATGTGAAATTTTCCATAATTCATGCTTTGAACCCACAACACAAAGAATGGTATACATATACTCAACGCCGACGTAACTAAGGTAGCAACCATCTTTGACAAAGACAAATTCAAATACATTCGTTTAGTAATTTCTATTTTACTAGCGGTATATTAACACATATTTATTAGGTTACATGCATAATAGAATACATATTTACAAAATTACTGAACGTATCTACTTGGCAATGTGCTCACATTTATAAACATGTCTCTATCTGTAACTCACTTCTTTGCGTCAGCTACTTCATCACTTTAACACACGTTCGTATCTGAGTTACTCATATAAACAGCACCTGGTTGCCATATGGCTTTTCATAACCTTTTAATTAGTACATTATTCCACACAACTTTATCTACTGGTTGCGGAGACTAACTAATCGTATACGTGTTGAATCGATATACAGCAGTGTAGAGAAAATCAAATCTCTCCACTCAGAGAGGTATAACCTTATCAGCAGCGAGAAAGAAATTCCTACGTCCCTGTCAGCCTAGAGATAAAAGCAATATCCTCATAGCTATACTCGGATGCAGATTGGTTCTCTGAATCTGATCTTTAGTTTCTTTCAAGCTACAACTTTGTATCGCTCCAAATGAGTGTTAAGTCAAAGTACTTAAAACTTATCGAGCCAAACAGGGTTATACAAGTATAGCCGAGATAACAGACCTTGGCCGGATAAAATCCGCTTCAATTCTGGTAACGTAGAACCTGTCGTGAGAATAGAGAAATGTAACGAACTGTACGAAGAAGTACACATTGGATCTTAATATCACAGTCGTTGGCATCAAAATTACGACTGTCAATAACCCTTATATTTTTGGCGTTACCCTTAACAGCGTGTGCTTCCCTTGATGATTATAGTTATATTTTATAGTGACTATGACAGTTTTCTGCCGTAACTTATTATACCTTGAACAAGGTATATTAAGTTTGCACAAAATTTGCCGCACACAGAAAAAAACGTCAGAGACCCTATAAAATATATACGTAAAAGATCAGCCTAACGATCTGAGTCGATTAAATAATAACCCTTTGTCTGTACATCTGTCTGTATATATGTATATAAGCGAACTAGTCTCTCATCATATAACTCAAAAAATATCGATCTGAAATTTTACATGCGTCTGATTAAACTGATTTTAGCACGGCAGGAATTCCACTGAAAATATATCGTATCAAGCAATTGATAATTTGTTCTGTCAAACACATAGCTATTATTTCTATGTTATTTCTTCTATTAAGAATATGTCAGTTTCTCTATGCACTTCGGCGTTTATTTTAAATAGAAAACAAAGTATTCATTTTCGGTATCTATGTTATTATATACTACATGTTAGTGACACGGACATATATTATATCTAGAGCAGTAAAAAAATTTTGTTTTTTCTAACTAGAAAATAAAAGCGTTTCGAGAAAAAGCAACTAAAAAAAACTGAAGATATAAATACTACAAGAACGAATATATACATATAATTTTAAACGTAGCGCAAGAAACAATTGTTACGTTGGCATTGACCTATAGAGATGGAAACAGTAATAGTCGGCATCACGCTAACTACCCACGTTGATGGCATCTAGTGCAAAAGAAGGCAGCTTCACAAGGCTAGCTACAAAACTACATAGCCAGTTGCATACTTGTCTATGGCATTGTAAATTCTTTTCGCTAAAGGCAATGCACATATATTGTTTTTAGAATGGAAATGAAAAGAAAATATAGAAGAATTTACTTCTAAAAACAGCAAAACTAGCACAAAAACTTTAAAAATTAAATGCAAAATAGTAATTTGAAATGGTTGTAGATATAAGTAATAATTTTTAGAGGCTGATTTCACCACGATTTTTGTAACAGCCAGAAGGAAACGTCGGAGACCCTATAAAATATATATACAAGTATATGTATGTAAATGATCAGCGCGATGAGCTGAGTCGATTTAGTCAAGTCCAACTGTCTTTGCGTCTATCTGTTCATCTTTACGTGAACTAGTCCTTCAGTTTTTGAGCTATCGACCAAAAATTTTGCACACATCCTTTCTTCATCAAAAAACTGCTCTTTGGTATGAACCGCCGTTATTGTACTACTATAGCATATAGCTGCCATACAAACTGAATGATCCAACTCAAATACTTGTATGGAAAACTATTTTATTTGACAGAGTATCTCCACGAAATTTATAATAAATTATTAACCCAGACATAGCCACAATCTACAAAGCAGTTGCTTAGGTCGGGGCACTTAGCATATAGCTGCCATACAAATTAATCGGTCAATATGAATTCCTTGTATCTATTTTAAAACGATTTTAAAGAAATCGTAAGTGAATCGCAGTAAAAGCGATTTATTCATGGACATTTGAATGTAGATGATCTTATGTACATACATATTATTTAGGCGTACACTTACATATGTATATGCTCTTAACCATTAATATTCCACAATTTCGTCAGAGAAACGGTAATTTAACTGAGTTCATTTGTTTGCCATTTCCTGGCGCTTTCACATTTTGCATACGTCCAAACGGTGATGCCTCTGCCTGTAATTTTGAAAAGTACACGGAAAGAATATTAATCCTTTTTACTGCAGATAGGTCACATGCCACATATTGTGTACACTTTACTTACACCTACAACCGAAATGATCAACGATATTTTCGATTGTATGCAAGCTTTCCTTCACACATATGTATATTTGAGCCGATTCTTACGCACGCTACATTTAAATGACGCTCGTCTTACCTTCCTTCGCTTTTCTTGTACCACGTTTCTGCTTAAATCCAATTTACCTGTGAAAATGCATTAACTGTTTACTTGAAACCAAGCGCATGTTTGTGCGCACATATATGCAAAAATACACACGTTTGTATGGAGTGAAAGTGTGTGCGTGCTTATTTCTATATATACAAGTATATATATATATTACCTTACTTACTTACCACAATCAGTTTTAATTTATTTTGTCTGCTTTTATCTTCCATTTCTTTGCTTGCCAAACAAACAAATACGCAGATATGACCTGTTGGCTGGTGTGACACGTGCCGAAGCATTTTTCTCCTTCAATTCCGGCGACGTACAGTACGGCATTGAGGCGGATCGTCGCTCGAAAATACTAAAGGCCTACGTACGCAATACATATACGTATCATCTGAACGAAATATTCGCGACGATTGTTAATGAGTACACGGATTGGGAGCGACCCGTACAGCATCCAATTAATATACGGTAAGCATTTTAAATAAATACAGACGCAAAGGCAAACAGGGTTTATGTATATATACGAGTATATATTTATATATTATATACATGCCTATATACATAAAACCTCACATAATGCTTGAAAGCGCGTAAAATTGCAAAAGGTTTATAAATTTGGATATGTATGTACAAGTATATTGTCGTAAGTGCGGACTATTTTTTAGAGCATGTTAAAACTTTTAAATCCGATATAATAGCAAAAAATATATTTTTATTGCAATTTTTTTGTTTAGTGTTTGTTTTAGCTAGTGAAGGAAAAGCAACAGAATGCACTCTTCTCTGACATAAAGTATAATAAGCTCGTTTACACCGAAAAGTACTTAAAAAAAATGTATTTTTTTGGTCATTTGGTTTTCAAGAAGAAATAAAACGTACTTTATAATTTAATATTATGGCCAAGAATTTAGCTTTATTATAAAGTTAATATGGACTAATGATTTCCTATGTCCATATCGATATCAAAATATATTAATTTCTAAACGGAAAAACTATCGAATTAAAAAATTCATTTCGCTTTAAAATTTCCTATCGACAGGTGTAACCCTCAACCTTAATATATTAGGCCAAGTAAAAAGTTCGTTCGGTTTTTATCTAAGAGATGGCGTTATTGTCCATAGTATTAGTGTTACGTGTCGCATCATGTCATACTATACAGCGCTGAAAACGTGTTTATTCGCGCTAAATTCGCTATATTTTAAAATTTTTTTCGATCAACGCGAAAAAGCTGCCAAAGCGGCTGAAAACATTAATATAGTTTATGGGCCCGATACTGTAAACGAACGTGTAGCACAAAAGTGATTTGCTAGGTTCCGTTCCGGTAATTTCGATGTCAAAGATGTACCACGCGTCGGGAGGCCTGTCGTCGAAAATTGCGATAAAATCATGGAAATAGTGGAAACAGACCGTCACATGAGTACTTATTTAATTGCTGAGGAACTAAAGATAAGCCAGAAAACCGTTTGGAACCATTTGCATAACCTTGGATTCAAAAAGGAGCTCGATGTTTGGGTGTCACATGAACTAACGCAAAAAACATGATGGACCGAATTTCCATCTGCGAATCGCTGCAGAATCGCAACAAAATCGACCCTTTTCTGAAGCGGATTGTGACTGGCGATGAAAACTGGGTCACTTATGCCAACATCGAGTGCAAACAGTCGTGGTCAAAGCTCAGAGAAGCGGCCCAGACGGTGGCCAAGACCGAACTGACGGCCAGAAAGGTTTTGCTGTGTGTTTGGTGGGATCGGCAGGCAACCATCTACTACGAGGTGCTCCCTTATGGCCAAACGCTCAATTCGACCCTTTACTGCCAACAACTGGACCGCTTGAAGGCAGCACTCATCCAGAAGAGGCCATCTTTGATCAACAGAGGCCGAATTGTATTCCATCAGGACAACGCCAGGCCACACACGTTTTTGGTGACTCGCCAGAAGCTCCTGGAGCTCGGATGGGAGGTTCTAATGCACCCACCTTATAGTCCGGACCTGGCACCAAGTGATTACCATCTTTTCCTGTCCATGGCGAACGCGCTTAATGTGTTTCGCTCGTGTTTATATCACATACATATATCACATTTGAAGGTGCTTTTAATATAATTTTAGCTAATGCGATTTAAGAGTTAGCAATAAAACTGAATCTTAGCTTATAGCTATATAGGTACATATCTTCTTGACGTATATTGCAAGTCAAGAAGACACCAAATTTGATTGTAATTTATTCATGATTTCATTGGATAGAATCGAAAGGAAACGTTGGAGATCCTTTTCGCAAATTTCGCATATAACCTTTTCTCAATAAGAAGCTGCTTTTTTGTCGGAATGACCGATATCGGACCACTATAGCATATAGCTAACCTTTTCATTTATTGTCATAAAGCATTCGATTTAATAATCTGTTTTTTTTTCCAAAAAATTATTTGTTGTAAGCAATTTACTTATTTCTATTTGGTGCCTACTGATTTATGAACAATGAAATTATTAAAATTTGAAACACCAATAGAATTGAACTAAATTCGATTTACATATTTAAAAATTTTAATTTTAATTGCGTATACATGTTATTATATATACATACTTGTATGTATATATATATATATATGTATATAGCAAGTGTTGCCAAATAGTTTGTTTGTAAAGGCAGCATAAATTTTTAAAACGGATAAATTAATAGTAATGACTTATTTATTCCAAATCACTCTCGCAGCACTTCTGTTGTTATATTAGTTAGTAGGTAAATTGCATTTATACAATATTCATTATTCGACGAAATTGTAAATGAATTATAAGCAAATTTGGTAGCTTATAAGCTTTTATTATAGGTGGTAAGTAAAAATTATATTATAATCATATTCGAGTGAGATATACCTATGTGACATAAGCTCAATCGAAGTGGCTAAATTTAATATTGAGTTGATATAAGTGATATGTGATTAAGACCTAGTCTAAGTCTAGATCAACTCCATTAATATTCTATTTAAACCTTTAATATAATGGAATATCTTTAAGAAAACTTATTCGCTTAATTTCATTAAAATATCACACATGTTGACATGTTGCTACAATCTTACCAATTTAAAGTCAGCTGGTAAGTCCAAAATCACTATGCAGGATATAATTAATACCTTCATATTCAAATGTTGATATGAGTATAAGTATGATTTTAAATATGAATATATATACTCGTATGTGGATAGGTATGGGTGGAGGACAATAATTTTATGCAATATGGAAATGAACTCATACGTAACATCATACCTTCACTCATAACTACAATCAAATATGAAGGTATAAATATATTTTACCCATTGCTTAGCAACAGCTGCTTTTTTTTTATGTGAGATACACTATGCTCTGTTGTAAAAAGACTGTGCAATTATCCAATATTCACTTTTGCAGTGATGAAACACTGGAAGCGCTTAGCGATGCACAAGTGGTAGCACCGGCTGCTCAAACCGTGGACTTACACTCGGCGGATCATCGCAATTCGTATTTGTACGTCTTTGACTATCAAACCAGATATGGGGATTATCCGCAGGTAAGTTTGATGCTTGTATCATTCTCACGTTCGTTATATAGTATATTACAATAAGTGAAATGTGTATAGTGCAAATATTTATGTAAAATTCGCTCGTTATAAAGGCTTAACGTTTGACTTATAGAAATAATGCCTGCTTATTGAATAATTGAGTATTCCTATTTTTAAAAATGTGAGTAAAAAATGTCACCATTTATATTTTATATGCGCTTTGGCTACAATTACATCATTTTCTGAAAAATGGAATATTGGATTCTCGTTCTGAGTATATTACGTAAAAGTATTTTGAAAACAATTTTAATATCGGCAAGCGACTTGAAAACTTCGAGTGAGTTCTTAGCGCCTACACATGTATGTAGCTATGTATATATTAATAAATATTCAGCTACAGCAGTTTAATATGAACCTCGTTGTATATAACTTAAGTCAAATATCTAGCTTTTTCAGCTGAATTCCAAATTGCAATTTTAATATTAACACTCACACACATTTTTTCTACTTTACTGAATGTAAAGCAAGTTTAGGCACGATGATATGAGCATGTACATATGTATGACAGCCAACAAATTCTTAGAATTAAAATCGTTCTTTTCGTTAGACATTTATCCTACCACAAAAATTCACAACTGCTGCATTACTCAGATTTGTTTGCATTCAACCGATTGCAGTCGCGCAACCTTTGCTTGCTTCCACATCCGTACCGGGATTTACATATGTACATATATGTATGTATGCATATTAACTTATATGATTTTGTGCTAGGCAAGCATTTGAACTGCGGCATCAGTTCGGTGCACACATCTGCATATACAGTACACATGTATGTAGATGCAAGTGCGAGCATGTAGGCCAGCAACAAATATTGAAGCAAACATTCAAACAACTTATGTAGGCAATTATCTGCAATCTGAGTGCTTCGAAAGCGGCTCAAGGCAAGCCAAGTACATTACGCGTTATGTCTGCACACATATGCCGTTCTACAGCGCTCAACTTAAGTGAGAGTTGAAGTGAGGTAATGCGTGCTATTCCAGCGATATACCCCCTAAAGGACATCAAGTGATCTAAAGCAGTAGCAAACTACACGCATCATTGGCATTTGCCTATAAATACATACATATTTCCATAAGAAAGCAAGCAAATGTGTTGAAGTGCGCTAATAGATGATGAGAACTCTTAGTAAAACTGTAATTTCTTTGCCACAATGCTAGGAAAATATTACGGCATACATGCCAAGTGTCTGTTTAGAAGAGAAATGCTAGAACTAGTTCTTGTTTAAGTATAATTTCTATAAGATCTTGCATTTCGCTTCTCAAAAACTTCACTGCCTGCCTTGAACTCTATATAATTGTCTAAGTCCATTTCTTTTTTATATATTTTCAGCGCCAAGGTTGCATTCATGGCGAGGATTTGCCCTACCTGTTTGGCGCACCATTAGTGGGTGGCTTTAGTCATTTCACACGAAACTATACCAAAACAGAAATAAATCTCTCAGAGGTTGTAATGCTCTACTGGTCGAACTTCGTGCGTACTGGGTAAATAATAACAATATGATCAGTAGTTAATGGCCTTATCAACACATATAATATATTATAAGACAAAGAAGCTCAGAATACTTTATTTGACGAATCTCTGATTTGTCATGATTTTTATTTATTAGACCCCGGCTTTCAGCTTGCCATGGTTCTTATATATAAAGCATATGTACTTTTCTTTTATACCTCTTTAGCAATCCGAATGAACAAATGGAAGGCGAACATCCCGGTAGTCGACAAGAGCGTAGTCGTTACAAAACGATTGAATGGACCGCTTACGAGAGTGTGCATAAGAAGTATCTCAATTTCGGTAAGTAGTCTGGAGCCAGGCGAACACACAGTTGTTACATATATTGTACATACAATACATACTATCATCATCAATTTATCGGATTTACTACTAAAATTTATGTGAGCACTTTTACGTAACTCGAACCCTATATATCTTCTTATATGCAGACACAAAACCCAAACTCAAGAATCACTATCGCGCACATCGCTTATCCTTCTGGTTGAATCTCATTCCCGATCTGCACAAGCCAGGCGGTGATAATGTGCCCGCCGCCCATCACCAACTGCTGGATGATTCCGATGATGACGTCGACAATAATATCGCACATGACGGTTCTGTTAAACCACTCAACCCACCCTATTCGCCGCATGCTGGCAGCGCGGCGCTCGGCAATTTCACACTATTTACTAATCAAGTATTCTCATTGCTGAATCTGTCGTCACCCTCATCGGCGCGTAATGGCTCACGTTATGGTAGTAAAATGTATGGCGGTGAGGAGAACGGTGAAGCGCATGCCGCCGGCAGTGGTTCGCCCCCGGAAGGTCAAGACGGTTTTGCTGCCTACTCCACAGCACTGAGCGTCACAATTGCGATTGGCTGTTCGCTGCTCATACTCAACGTGCTTATCTTTGCTGGTGTTTACTATCAACGCGACAAAACGCGCCTGAGTGAGCCGCGTGCGCAAACGAAACTAAAGCGACAGGAAAACGGTCAAATGCCGAATAACATTTGCGGCGATCTCGAAACCTTAACGATACACACGAAAAACGATCCGGCAACAATACTTTCACATCATCATGCGTTACAACATCAACACCAACTGCCGCCACCTGAATTCGCGGATATACCGCATCGTGCGCCGCCGCCGCCGAAGCATTTAAAATCGCTGCAAGATGCCACTAGCAACATGAATATGGGTGGCGCGCTCAATGCGACGGGTAGCGCGTCAAGCGGTGGGAGTATGGTAGGTGGCGGCATGGGTAGCAATGCTGGTGGTGGCAATGCTGCTGGTATTGGCGGCATGGGCAGCGCTAACGGGCAAAGTAGTAGTGGATCTAGTGGTAGTGGAGGCGTTGGTGGTGGCGGTGGCAGCATGCTGGGTCTAATGCCACCACCGCATGCGCTGCAAGTGATGGGCAATCAATGTGGCACACTTACCAAAAAGAGCTGCATGAAACAAACGCAACAGCAGCAACAACAGCAACAGCTAGTTGTTACACATCAGCAACATTTGCAGAATCATCATAATCAAAGCATGACGACGGCTTTAATGGGTGGCGGCGGTGGTGCTGTCGGTCCACCGCCACCATCCGTATCTAGCGCACAAGCGCACACACATGCAAATGTGCAGCAACAGCAACAACAACATCATCAGCAAGCACAACTACAACAAATCCAACAGCATCCACTAATGGATGAGTTGCGAGTGTGACATTAATTAACAGTGCGTTTCAAATGTGATCTCTAGCGGTGATTAAATGATTGTGATGTGAAATGACGTGGAAAGGGGCGACACACAATGCTACATAGCTCGATTTAAGTGTGTGTATGTATGCCGACATGTGTATTTATGTGCGTGTGGGTGTGTGTGTGTTTATTTGAGTGTAAGCGTGTAGTGTATATGCGTGTGCTATTGTTGCACATCCTTGCTGTTTAACAACCATTAGGTATTCGCTCTGTATGCGTCTATCCTTTTGTCAATGAGCGAGAACGTCACTGTATTTAGTAGCAAACGAAAACGGGATTACATGGCGTAGGCGCATTTTGTTAATTACATATAAATACATATTTAATAGTATTAGTAATAAATATAGAATTCAAGAATGGTATTTATATTAAGCCCCTAGGAAAATTATATATAAAGTCATGGTGCTTGGCACAAAACCGAATTATTATTTCCAAATGTTCTAACTATAACTGTATTTAATAGCAAGTTTTAAAATAAAGTTTTTGATTGTCATAAAAAATTTAAATTCAGCAATCAGATGTGTTGTACTTGTATATAGTGTAGCTAAGGTGATAAAACTCTAAAATATATTATATAAACTGAATAAGCAACAATTGGCGGCACAAAGTTGGTATTCGATCTTTTTTATATAAGTTTAGTTCGCACTTTTACTAGCAGAAAAAATTAAACTTCGAAAAATAACTAATCTATAAATTTATTATGACTCGATTATTTTTAATTTTTTAATTAAAATATTTTGTGTTGATGTGTGTAGCGGCACAATTTTTACTAGCAATATCGATATGATTTTTTGGAATCAATAGGAAACTAGTATTGGTTGCCTAAAAATGGAAGCGCAGGTGCGCCAGACTGCAGGCAGCCGCTCTTAGGCCTTATCCAGCTGAATAATGTTTCTCAAGTTATAGCATTGGGAGCCGGCGAGCTGAATCTTAGGCATTCGTAAGACAACGTTCCAGCGTTTCATCGCAGAATACACTTTTCCAATTTTTTATAGGTAGGATCTTAAAGTGCCCAGTGAATATCCCTACAATATTACTAAGTTCCCTTTTGTCCGGAAATAAAAGCTTTGCGGTCTGTTCACCATCAGCACTACCCAAAGTAACTTTGTGCTATGCTCTATGTTGCTAATAGAAGTTAGGTATTCTTTTAGGGTCCATTGAAGGACCTGAATGGTCTGTGTCAGCTTTGGGGAGTTGTGTTCGCAACTGCCACTGAGCGCTCCAACTCTTCTGCCTTTTCGCTTCTTTCTATTATTATATGACTGGGTACCCAAATGAAATAACCGAGTTACCTACAGATAGTCTAGCTTTTGCCGCTTGCATAACCTAACGTAGCGAGCCTCAGTTTTGGCGCTACGTATACATTAATTGTCGCTTGGCTGTTCACTAGAAAGTTTATGGACTTGCTGCCTAGAGCAGAAGCCCACAAGGTGCCAGTGTTATGTCGACAATTTTGTACTAAATAACAGAGTTGTAGTTATTTACCTAGTTTGAAACTACCTTCTGCATATGGAATACTAGAGAAGAAGTCCGCCGCTGTTCCTATTGCACCCTTTCATCTGTCGTTGAATATGTATATATTTTATAGGCCGCAAATATAAGTGGACTGTCCCCGGTTAGATTATTTATATTATATTCACTCTGTAGCATGAAATATGTAGATACTATTACTTGTGATAAATTTTGTCTCAAATCTGATAGTGGACTATTAGTGAAGAAGTGTGCCTTTTCATATTGGTACATTTGCAAAATGTGGAGGAGACTAACCTTTATACATTAATCGTTTTTCCCAACAACATCTTTTAGAAATATATTTATATAATGTTTCAACTTCACTAACATTAGTAAGAGTTAATTTTGTGAATCCCTGCAAGAGAATAAGCTTTGTTACAGTTAAAAATATTCTTATTCTGTTAAGAAATGTGATATACTAATGGTACTTTACTTGAGCATAACTTTGTTTTTTTTTTTTTTTCATAGAGGAGGAAGTACGTTTACATATGCCAGGCTAAGGTGTTTCGCTCTAGGTATGTCGGACTTGAACATTACTTGACTTGGTAACTTGCTAATGTTAATACCGACTAAAAAATCCCCTTTCTTCCGGCCACATATCCCCCCCGGAACCGCCGCTAGGCATTACTTCGTATAGCTTAGTTGAGCATAGCTTAGTTGAGCATAGCTCGCTCTAAAGAAATGCCGAGTTTTTACTTTTACGAATTGATTAATAGTTTCCACGAAATTTATAGAACTTTCTTATATTCATCTGCTCTTGGTAAGCAATTTCTGCGGCAAACCATTATCCGATGTTCTTTTATAATGGTTGTAACATGTAATGTGGCTGTTTAAACAACGAAGCGATATCTGGCCTAAAGTTCTTTGTTCTGTTATGTTATTTTGGTTCACTCAACAACTTTAGTCATAAACGCTACCGTGATTATTTTCAGTAAGACACGATATTATTCCTAGCAAAGTAGCCCGAATATATATAGTCCTAAGGTGTAAAAGATAAAATCGCCTAAACTCACAACCAAACTTTGGCTAGCAAATCAAATCTTCTATAAAGTGTAACACATTATACTCTTTTGTGGATGTTGTGTCAGAATATAAAAAAAATGGTATTTAATACTCTTCAATCAAGGCCATAAAACAATTTTATTTTTAATTCAAGCGGATCTGTTATTCTGTGTATGCACATATGGCGACAGCATGTTGCAGTTGTAGCAGCTGAATAACTCAATTAAGAACATGTATTTTGTAAACATAAAAGAAGCCGCCTGATCGCATCTATATGTAATTGAAGCCGTCAGCTTAATTTAAATCGGTTTTTACGTTTGCAATTTTGAGTAGTGTGAAAGTGTGAATGTGACAGCATTTAACATCCTCAACTTAGACTCTTTCCTGCACTGCTAGTTTAAGTCACCAGTGTGTTGCTAACAGCAACTCTGTTAAGCATTTATTTGTTTATTATAAATTCTACATTTATGCTTTAAAAATAATTAACTTTTTTATTCCATACTAGAAATTCACATAAGAAACGTAAAGTAGCTTTCGGTATTTGTATAAATTATTCTTCCAAAGACTGATTAAGTGTGTATATAATAATTGCCGTTAGTGTGCATCCAATACAAAATGAGTGTGTATATGTGTATTTACGTAGGTTTGTATGAACTAATATGTGTATAGAGTTATTTTAATGTATGTTAATAAAGAGATATAGCCGTAGTGTGAATATAAAATGAAGGTTGTTTGAAAATGTTCACAAAAATAAAATTTATACTTATGAATTGAAAATAAAACTTTAATTATAACAATGCGAAAATTATTAGAGATAGATTGAGTTGATACAAAACCAAAATTAAATATGTTTTTTTGCAACTTTAGTTTTTTTCAATTTCTTGTTGTAAAATACACTCATATCTTCTTTAAACTAAAAAAGCGGTATAAGGAAAGTAATAAGAGTAGAATGTAAGGGTTAGTAAATAAAAAAATAAAAAATTTTGTTTTACTAAATTATTTCCTCTAATAATTAATTTTTTATTCTTATTTCTGTCGCTTTATTTATTATAATTTTTTGTTTTGAAAACTTGTGTTTTAAGATAAAATTTGTCCGGTAGCTCATTTAGAGTTGTGCTAGCTGCTAACTGTTAAAAAAGAAAAAATATATATTTTTAAATCTTTTTATGTTGACAATTGTTTTGTTCGAGTGTGTGCGTACGATAAGTTATGTCATTAACTCACACGACTAGTTAGCTTAGATTTAAGTTAATTTAGGGTAAGTAAACAAATATGTAAACTACAAAAAATTTATAAAATGCTTACAGAAGTTCGAAGAATAAACATATAAGCATATATAGATACTATATGTAGTATAAACAAATATAGCAATTAACTAAGTTGATAAACTTAATCATAAGGCAATTAAAATTGTATAGGAATAAAAATAAAAGTATATAATTTAGTTGTAATTAGTGAAACAAGCAAGCAACAAGAAGACTACATTGTAAGTGAAGAGATAAGTAGCAAATAAATAACTAGAAATATTTAATATTAATTATTAGTGCGTATAAAAATGTGCAGCATAAAAAGTACGCTATAAGTACTTAACCTACAAAAATCTGTGACACAATTGTATTTTTAGTGCTGCAGTTAAAATAGTAAGTGGTTACTAATTACTTGTCAGAGACAGCAATAACGCTGGAAACCGTGTTTAAAAGCTATAAGTTGACAAATTGTGCAATACAAGTATATACATATATAGAGAACTAGTTAAGTATGGAAAGAATTGTGGTAATATAAGTATGTTATATTATGATGAACGTACGAAATTTAAAATGCGTAAAAAATAAGGGATTAATAATGTATAATAAAACACAGAATTAATATTGTATACAAAGTGTTTTATATTTACTTAGAAATGCAACATGGTGAGTTTTCATACATATTGTGTTACTAGTTATTTATACCATAATTTGTTGTACTGGTTGTTGATATTTCATACTAAGCTTCATACTACTTTGGAATACAGTGTTATAGGATTTTTGGCTTAAATACGGTGGGGATAAATCATCAAGTTTTAAAAAGGGCTAAGTACCACAAAATGGGTAGGATTTTTGTATATTCTACGTTAAGCAAATACATCTACAACTTTAAAGTAGTGATATTTTTATACAGAATTTAACGCTCAATAAAAAGTGTCTGAATCAATTTTTTCAAAGAACATTCCTTTCAAAGTTATACCTTAATTCATACAGGTAAATTATACAATCCGTGTTGCTCATACGACATGGTGTGCTGTATGAATACACAGTACAATTGATGCATAAATTTATATGCGCATAACTTTTAGAGGAAAATTTTATGAAAAAAATTATTCAGCCTTGTTTTGTAGAATGAAAGATTTTGTAATAGAATATCACTTATTAAAAATTGTAGGTTTATTTGTCTTGGAAATAAAAATATTATTGCAAAAATTAAAAAAATCCCATGTAAAATGTATGGGAAAGTAAAAATTTTTAGGCACGTTTTATATTGGAACAAGGGCGTGTTTACATTGGATCGCCATTTTTTGGGAAAATATTGAAACTTCAGTGAGCGTTTGCAAAAAAAAAGCAACTTGGACACCCTAACGTACCACAGAATAGAAAACGATTACAGGTTGTCCTCTTTTTAAATACCTTCCCAACATTATTCGCAAATTTTAGGTCGTCGGTAACAAAAATAGAAAAAAAATATTTTGCCAAAAATTTCACCCTTTGAAAATTTCACAATTTCTTTAGATATGTTAGAGGTATAATATAAAAAATATTGAGGCCAAAATTTTCCCGCGATGGTTACTTTTTACAATTTTTTCGTTCTTTATTTATTATATATATTATACCTATATATAGTCTCAGTGGTATAATTTTAAATATCTTATCCCAGTATACATTTTAGTTAACATTAGATTACATGGTTTAGAACAGTTGTGAAAACTGCTGCTTCGCATGTTTAAGATATTCCGTGACGTTAAAGAATGTTCTTCAAAAGACAGCTAAATGCTTATAAATATTAATATTTTTCAATTTATGGCAAAGAATCTCTCTTTCAGCACATGGCGTTTTATAACCAGTAGTGTTTAACGGCGAAGTATAGAGCATAGCAAGTTTTTTTCTTAGGATAAAATATAAAAAATAATATTATTTTTAACAAGAGATCGTTGATAAAGAAAAATATTGGCAATAAGGCTTTGATGAAATATTTAATTGACCTGTTATACATGATTTTATTTAACTACTTTCGCTGGATTTCAAAGGTATTACAGGAATGAAACCTTAAAAAAAAATCAGGAATTTCTCATAACCATAACCGTTATACCGCCCAAAAACCAGCTTCGAAAGACTGTTTCGAATATTAACTTTCTTTTAGGTATTAGCAAAATATTGTGGCGTATAGCCTACATATTGCATTTCAAAATGCAATTTATCTTCTGCAAACTAATTAAAGTATTCATAAATATTTTAGTAATCGATAGAATATTTTTAAAGCCTGACTTTCAACCGGCACTAGCGCAGTGGAGACTTTCATTGGGTTGGCTGTGACAGCAGCTTCATGTAGACATAATTAAACTAATATTTTTCTCTTGCATTTTTACTGCAAATTTTAAATTAATGCTGAGCTACGGAAAATTGATTACTTGTAGCTGTGTAAACATAATATAAACATACAAATGTATATGGACTACTTATACAAATTAAAATACAAGTAGTTATAATTTATGCAAAGAAAATAATTTTATAATACTATTCCTGCTAAAGAGCACGCCCCTTACCATAAAATTTTTGCATAAAGAATATATATTTTTTTTTGCATATTTAGATGACTTTAGTTAAAGAATTAATATTTCAAATATTTCTTGAGTTACAGGGGCATATATAATGTAAAATTTCTGAAAAATCAAATCATTTTTGCATATATTGATGTCTATACTTAAAAATATACCAAAACTTTAAATTAATATTTCAAATATTTCTTGAGTTACAGCCTTCTAAAGCACTATTGTTACTCGAAAAATATCATCCGATGGCTTTAATACTTATACCATGAACAGGGTATATTAAGTTTGCCAAGAAGTGTGTAACACGGCGGAGACCAAGCAAAGTATAGATACATGATTGAACAGCGTGATGAGCTGAGTCGATTTAGCCATGTCCGTCTGTTTGTCCGTCTGTATATATGCGAACTAGTTTCTCAGTTTTGAGATATCAACCAGAAATTTGATCACGTCCTTTTCTCACTAAAAAGCTACGCATTTGCAGGAACCAATATCGGTACACTATAGCATATAGCTGCCATATAAAATAAAAGATCGAATTCAAGTGCTTGTATGGTTGTTTTCAAGAAATTTAAATAAAAAATAATAATGATACACTTTTAAAGCAAAGAAAAACTCGCAATTTGCATATATTGTTGTTGATTGTATGTTGTAATCTGAAATTGATAGCTCTTGTATGTATATATGAAAACAAAATAACATAGATATATCAGTAACTTCTTGCTCATTTTCATAGTTATTGTGTAAAACTCATAAAACTTTTTCAATTCCACTTAAAAATCTTCTCTTCTGCGTCTCATTCATATATGCCTCAACGCTTACTTAACAGACACAAGTTGCCAAACAAGCAACGCACACTTGAAAAGTTTACAGTAAAAATTCAATTATACGCCAGTTCAACATAAAAATGACAAAGAAAATTTTATACGTATACGTTTATAGTATATAAGTACTTGCATAAACTAGGGTGGTTCTATATGTGTGGAGGTGCAAAATTCTTATTTTAAAGTTAAAGCAAATAATACTGAAATATTTTTTATCATTTATGTAATTTGTGTAAGCCAAATTACGCTTTAAGATTATAGATGGTAATAAATATTTTTTAGAGTAACCATTTCTTATAGTATCCTTGTAGTTGGAATAAAAGAACTTTTGAAACCGTATGAAGTTTAAAAATAAACCTCTTCACACCTGGTCTATATATAACGATATGCTTATGCTTCGCTTAAAGTACTGAGAACTTTGTGACTATAAAAGCTTTCTTACTATGTAAGGATTTCGAATGAGAGTAGAAGATAAGCCTTTTTCGGTCGCGTGTTTAGGCTTCCATCTCTGGGCTTAAAATATGATACATAAGTACGTTTCTGCTTACTACGTTTTTGTATACTTTGTGGCTGATTAGCCACTCTGTTGGCGCTTCAGTCGCATGGTAATAAAATTAACGCCAAACTTTTTCCATTACCGTAGAAAATACACTTAGCATATTCATAGCTACATGCATACTCATTATAAAGTAGTAAATAATTGAATGCAAATAAGATACAAATTTGTAGATGAGTTCCTCATGTTCTTAAAGAACGAAATTTTCTTCATCGCATTAACGACTGTTTATCAGACGTCAAAGAAGTGTTCTGTCGACAAAAATTGGGTTGTTTACAAGTATGAAAAGTGCAAAAGATCATGATCTTAAAAGGATGATCCAGCTCAAACCACTAACAAGGCCGATGGTGACCAAAAAGGTTATTTTGTTTTTTATGTTAGACTTAATTTATTTTAAGGTTTTGCCCAACAATACCACAATGAATTCTGAATGTATTGTGATCAGCTGGACAAATTGAGTGATGCGCTTAAACATAAGAGGCCAGAATTGATCAATAGAAAGGGTGTAGTATTCCACTAAGGTAATGCGAGACTTCATACAAATGTGATAACTCACCAAAAGCTTTTTGCAGCTTGAATGGGATGTTCTACCACACCCACCATATTCTTCAAACTTGGCATCTACGGACTATTATTTGTTCCTCCAAAAATTTTTCAGTTTTTGCCTGAAGGGATAAAAAATTTGATGAGCGTGGAATAAATCTTTTACCTGAAAGATAGCAAAGCATATTGGCTCAAAATGGAGGATATATAATTTCATAAAATGTTTTACACAATAAAAAAATATTTTTTAAGTTGCATTAAAAAAACGAAATTACTTAGTGAACGACGCAATTATTTAAAAAGAGACACGTATATCAGGTCATAAATGAATATATAGCCGTTACAAAAACACTGGACTTGATTTAAACATAATTATTGTATATTGTTAATGAGGGTACATCAACATAATCAAAAATCATCACAAAGTTCGTGTGAAAAAATCAGTTTTTATCAGTGATATTAGTGGTGTTTGTGAGACGTTTCTACTAGAATCTTATAGGAAGCTTTTCTTATTTCAAACCTATTGGCGGTAGCTTTTTCGCTAACATTAAAACTATCTATCGCTATCTGACATCATTCGCACTGTGTAAAGAGTATTTGCTTTTGTATGTTTTTTATATTCCGTTTCAACCTTTTTGCGAAACACATTCCACTTTAGAATTAGTGCATAAATTTTGTTTAGATAACAACCGATTAATAGACCACAATTGCAATTGAACTCCGAAAGATTGGTTGATGAATATAAAAATCGTCTTAGTGTGGTAATGGCCCAGATAAAGTTTTTCATTTAAAAAACCACCAGCTTCAACTATGCTAACATTGTGTTTGAGATGTGAGTTTACATATCGACTCGTGCATAACCACACAAACTCAAATTAAAACCGCCCACAAAAATGAAATCAGCCGAAAGTATTAAAAAGTTAAGCAATTTGCATTAAAATTGCGCCAACGTGCTAAAACAACAAAAGAGTCAAATGAGAAAGTTGTTATGGCAAATCGAATACTCCTTCTCGTTACTACGTATGTGTGTATGTTAGACTTTGTATGTGTATACATATACCCAGTGCAGAGACAACGTGCCAAAGAAGAGGAGAAACAGCGTGTAGTAATGATTTGCGGTCTTCATATATTTCCTTTATAGCAAACACATTATA